TATATATATATATATATACTCACTATGAATAGATTAGAGAAAATAAAACCAATAAAACCTTGTCACTTGAGGACTATAGCATTCAGTATTGGATTAACAATTGTATTTATATATTTTCCCACTTTATACACATATAAAATTTATATATTTTCATGTCATAATAATAGAATTATGACAAATACAATTTGGATGAAAAGACGAGGCCTTCTGTATGCAAAACATTATTGTAAAAACATTCAGGTTGAACCTGAAATGGAGAGTAGTTAGTAGTAGTAAACTGGCAAAATAACTAATTCTTAACTAAGTGGAGGAATTTCTACTGGATCATTAATTGCTTTGCCTTTTGCTCATACAGATCCAAGGCAATTCTGTGTTTACTTTAACTCTTAAAAAGGAGCCCCAATATGAACTTTTATATATGCACTTGAATATACTTATATACACTTGCCTTGCCCCAAACAACCTGCAACTTTAAGTAGATGTGTGAATGTGAAACAAAGTCCCTACATCAGGAACTAGCTCCAGCTACTTATGAAACATTTCTGCCCACACTATTTACAAGAAATCATCTGAGAAAGACTAATGGTTCATCTCCGGTCAGATGATGGGATTTCTAAACAATTATAGTCGACAACTATTTTTTTTAATGTACTTTAATTTTAAGAGGTCACTATAAATCAGACTAATAATAATCTTCAGGGTTTTTTTTTCCTCTGCAAACAAAATCAACACACTCATTCTAGCATCTTCTGTCAACTCTTCAGAAGTCTCTATGGTAAGAAAGGAACGAAGCAGGCTTTTCATTTGGTTAACTTAGGAAGTAGAAAGTGCTTGTAACTATTACAGTCCCTTGATCTAGTCTTCTGAAGACACACTCCTGTAGAGACCTGGCTACACAGATGTGAGTGTGTCTGTTGTTCCAGGAGACTACTACTTTCCCTGATCTGTTATCCACATCTCACTTTGTTGTGAACGTCCATGTCGATACTTTCTCATCATAACAGCGGTGGGGAGGGAAAGGTCGTTTAAAGGACTAAGCTGATAGTAAGTTATCTTCTGTTTTTCTCAGACACTGAACAAATGGACACAAAGAACAACATGAGTTCTATGAAGACAGAAGCGAATGAAGTGAATTTTACTTTAAAAAAAAAAAAAAAAGCCCACTGTCTGGGTGTTTGAAAGTGGATTTTCCTGAATATTAATCCCAGCTGTATCTTTGTTAGTTAAAGTAGGAGACAGTCTGAGATACTAAAAAGTGGCTAATACAATGTGAGGAATCCAGCGGCCAAATAGCACATCATCCAGCGTTGAAAAGCGGCAGTTGTGAGGAGCACTACATGGTTTTTGCCCCTTAAGAGAGAATTGCTTATTTCTCAGTAAAATACGTCTCCTTTGTGTGACCTGTTTGGCCATAGTCTATAATTAATTAGGACTCTATTTTTATTAGCATTCTGGAGTTTTTGGACAGAGGCCTTTTCAAAGTTTTCTCTAAGTCTGAACGTAGAAAATGATCTTTGGTGACATGAGTCACATCCGTTTATTTAGCAATCAAAATACCTGATCTTTGTGACTACTTCTTTTGCCATTGGGATGTGGCCTAGGAGTTAACCAGGGCACATGGCTGGGAGAGAGGGATAGAGGATGGGACTCATGAACTCCTGAATCTTGGTCCCATCATGACAATGTACAAGTGGACAGAGATGCAAAACTTAGATCCAGTAACTCTTAATTGACTTGAATTTTATGGACTAAATCACTCCCTCTTTTAAAAATTCTGTTTTATTTTAACATTGTTCTTTGGGCAGATGTTTTAAAAAATGAGCTTGCAACCTTCAGGTGACACATAATTTGAACAGTGCAAAAAGAAAATGATACTGTGATTTTATTATTATTGTTTTTTTTTTTTTTTTTTTTTTTTTTTTTTTTTTTTTTTTTGAGAAGGCTCACAGGTCTCACGCTGTAGCCCAGGCTGACCTAGAACCCAACTATGTAGCCCAAGCTTGTCTTGAACTCATGGAAGATCTTTCTACCTTAAATTTCTGAGTGCTGTGATTACAGGTATGAGTTCTGCCTGATTTGATATCATACTTTTATTAACAGAATTTTTCAATTTGCTATCATCAGTTTGAACACATTTAATATATGATAGTTACTGATTAGTTTAGACTCCTCTGTCATACTTCAAGCATGTCCCTTTGATTTCTGGTATAGATGTATCCAAATTCAAATTCTGCACCATGCAAAGCACAATGTTAGATAAGGACCATTTTTACCATGTAAAACATTGCAGTTGCTAGGAAATACGCATGAGCAGTGCTTACAAACTATGCGTGAAGGGGGTCCTCAAACGCCACAGTCACAGGAAGGGTGTCCCTGTTGTGCTTAATTTAATCAACAGAGGGCAAACAACTATTTATAAACTAGATTGCATATTTTCAAAATGAGTTTTCTACATATTAATATGAAGTGATAAAATCAAGTATCACAGAGGCTATTTCTGGGAACCCAAACTGTGACAGTATGTGAATACACACTCACATATGAACCCCACTGTCATTCAGCACCATTTGGAAAGCCAAGAATCAAGGAATGCACTGGAACAGGTCAAAGGTGCACCGAAATGTCAGCCCTTTCTAAGAAAAAGATGACTGTGCCTATGTAGGACAAAGGTGACTGATTCTATCAGGCTTGGAATGAATTCTGTCTAACAATAAAATGATGTGTGATTTGTCATTGCCATCCCCTTTATTGCTAATTCATTGACTTTGTGCATTTATATTTGGATCAAGGACTCATAAATTTAAGATTCAGCCAACCCTGTGCCTGGCACTGGGAACTCTGGCTTCTAAAGACTTTGCGCTCTCTCTATATATATGTATACATTCATACATTGCTCAATGATGCTTTAAGCTTTAATTTTTTATTTATTAGCTGTAAATATGTGTGTGGGTGTGTAAGAGAGCTTGTACATACTGGAAAGGCTGCTGTGGCTGTCTGCATTTGTAGATGTGTGGTGCTAACTTTGTATCCATCTGGATCAGTGATTGTCTCACTGAGCCAACTTATTCTGATGAAATAATGCAATGAAGTAGGCTTTTTAAAAAGGAAAAGGCTTACTTATGTCAAGAGACGGAATCTGCTTTTAATAAAATTGGCAAAATTTTATTACAATACTAAGTCATTTTGTATCATTTTAGTCCTCTGGGAAAACTGAACTTATCCTTAGGGTAGGCTCATTTGGCAAACTTTGACTGAATAACCACTCTACTTGGTAAATCGTGTGGTTACTAAGTACTACAGGGCACATTTTAATGCTTATGTTTATGTAAAACTGCTCAAAGCTTTAGCTATCCTTTAAACTTTAGAGGAAAATTGCAATGGGATATTTTCTTGAATAAAAGGCATAAAACGTTCCTTGTCTACAGAATGCTTTTTTGTAAGTTAAGTGTTAGGATAGATTAAATAACTTTGATCATTCATTTCTTAGGGCTAATTGTTTCCATCTGTAAGGTTACACTGTCAATTACAAAGCAAGTGGCCCTTGTGCCAAAACATGAACTGTGTGGGCTGGGATGGTACCATGTTTAGTATTTGGGGTGCATTAGAGAGGAATGCCTAGAGTCTACCCTTGCAACCAAGTGCAGAGTTCTTCTTCATACATGTCAGAAAACAGGGGCTTGAGTAGCCACTAACCCAAAGTTTTTACTGTCAGGGTTAGAGTCTTCTGGACCTGGGGTCCTGCTAACAGGAAGAGACTCCCCAGTTTGCACTTCGCTGTTGCCCATCAATGCCTGTTGGTATAATCAAAAGGACCATTGCAATGTAAAATGGAGCAGCCACTGAAATACACTTGGCAGTTTGGGGGAAAGTTGAGCCTAGCCCATATAACTACTATTCAAACTCTCACTTCTAAATAGAGACCCAAGAGAAATGAAACCAAAGGCCCACAAAGATTGGTATACAAGCACTCATAACAGCATTTTCTGGTGTAGTAGCACCAGAGAGAAGAACTTGAATGCGCATGAACCAGTGAAGAGATAAAACAGATGCAGCATGTTCGTACAATGGACTAGGCATGCAAAAGACATTGGGTTTGCTCCCCAGATCCATATAAACTTTGGACATATGTCACACTAGGGATACACCAAAAAACCTTTGGCTATGGGAGAGAAGCCAAATACAAAAGACCACATACTGATGGTTCAATTTCTGTGAGATTTCCAGGAATGGAAAATTCAGTGATTGTCTGAGGTGGGAGTTGAACAAATAATAGAGTGAATATGTGCGTGAGATATTTTGGGGGGATGATGGAAACCAGAGAGTGGATGGGCACATAACTTCATAAATTTTCCAAAATTCATTGGATCTTCTCTTCAATATACAATAGATCAATTGTAGGCCATGTAAGTTGTACCTTAACCATGCTTTAAAAAATCCATTCATGTGGGGCTGGAGAGATGACTCGGTGGTTAAGAACACTCACTGGATGCTCTTACAAAGGACCTGAGTTTGGTTCCCAGCACCTGCATGGCAGCTAACAACTGCCCCTAGCCAGTTCCAAGGGAATCTGATGCCCTCTTCTGACCTTGCAGACATTGCACCTACATACATACAGGCAAAATACACGTAAAATAAAAATAGATCAAAACAAAAATTCATACAGATAGATCACACATCCAAGACACAGCTCATACAAATATGAGCTCTAACTGTAAGGATATTTCTTCTCTTGCCCCTAAGTGGGGAATCTTTGCAGGGCTTATCCCCCACCTCTAACAATAGGTTTGTCTATCCCAGGATCCCATCACATGGCTGTTTTTTGTT